CATTTTTTATAACATTATTAATTATAATCTAAGCTGTAGCTTAGACAACTCCCTAGATCCACTAGCTGGTTGTGCTGATCAGGTATTGACTGAAACAGCTCAGAGCAGATTGGCTCAGAATAGGGCTGAAGAATAATATTTAAACTAATATTTAATAATATTTAATAAATATTAAATATTATGATAAAATATGTGGTTAACCTGGCCATAATGGAGAAGGAATATTGGCTTGCAGAACCATTACCTAAAGAGGGATTTTTCCAAACCTATTTAGTCACTGCCCTTTCAAAACATTTTGTCAATGGATATATGGATTGAGTTAGTCTTTCTTGAGTATAGGCATCAAATTAACATAGAAGTGGGATAATGGGCTGTGATACATACAAAGTGACAGACATGTTGCTCTTGAGGTAGGTAATAAATAAATGTTAATAATTTGGTCCTTAGATCAAATTTGACATTTTTATATTTGTATACTATGTGTTTACAAGTACCACAGCAGATAAACCCCTTTCCATGAAAAACAGGGACAAATAGAAATATTTTGCAGACTGTCAGTTAGCCAACTCCTCCAACACAGTCTGAAATATAAACACTATACATTTTGAATTAATTTTCAATATATCCAAATATCTGCTGTATCCAAACATTCCGTTCTTTCATAAAGCAGGTGGTGGGTTTATTAGCTTTTATTTCAATAATTATAATCATATACACTGTAGAATTTTATAATTAATAAACATTTGGGCTTTTTTATTATATATTTATATTTTATTGTAGCCTTACCCAAAATAAAATTAATATATATTGAGAATGTATATTGAAAATCTTTTAAAATATTTAGTGGATTTGAATTTACTAGTTATCTGGGTTTGGTAGTCATATTTTTCCAAAATAGCTTATTTTCTAGGAGCTCAGCTTGTTCCTGAAATATCTCAAATCCCACTATTTTTACACTAGTGAAGAAGTGAATGAAAATCCACTAAAAATCATGTTGCCTATCTTAAAAAATCCAATTCTTTCAGCAAAATTTGGCATTTATATTATCCTAAACAGAAATTAATTTTTACTTACTGTCTACAAACATGTTAACTGAAATTAAACTTTCTGGGCCAAACCTGCACTAGGTTGAACTACATTTTCAAATAGACCTAGTCAAAATTTCTTTTACGGAGAAGGAAATTAGACAGGTAAGGAACAACAAATGAGCTGAACTTTGTCCTCAAAGAAAATTGGTTTTTCCTTTTCAATTTCATTTCAAAGAGATCTGACAACTGTCGCTTTGAACAAACTTTAACAGCACAATATCCTTTGTGCAAGTTTCCCCCTGTCAGCTTTTCCATTCCAGCAGGAACTTAGAACAAAGTGTACACTGCCCTTTGAGTTGCAAACTTCATCAGTTGAATGAACACTGGTGTGTGCAGTGAAATTGAGGGCATACTCTCTCTGTGAATCTGAACAGTGTACTCTCTCTCAATAAATATAACTTCTCTATCTTTTACAAGAATAAACTAACCATCTGTCCCTTCTCATATTTTCTCTGTTCTCCTGTGTTTACTGAAAATGAAAAGCCATTTGAAAATCCAGTTGTTTAAATCTAGGTGGGTTAGCAAACATTCCTGACTGCAGCATTCTTTCTTTTTCAGAATAAATCAGAACTTACTCATTGTCAATGCTTCTGAAATCTATTTATGGCACAAAAATTTCTTTGGCTTTTATTTTCCTAAGAAAATGCCTAAGGCAATGAAAAATAAAATTTAACCAATTTAATAAAAGCAAAATTTTGGAAAATCCAGAATTCTCTTAAAAGTCATAAAAAATCATCAATTCAAGAGGTAAATCACATTCCTGACACAAAATTATGTCATCCATACGTGACTGGAATCAGTGCTGTTGCATAATATTAGAAGCAGCACTCTTTCTCAGAAGTACTTATGAACTACCAAGTTTGAGAACACTGTCTGTAACCTTCAAGTGCGGTCTACACACCATGACATGTTTCAGTGAGACATGGGAAGCAATTCTCCAGTATGTCTTCCAGCTTTTCTTTCTATACTAATCTCACATAATAGAAGAAGGATGTTGATTGAAAAGCTTAATTAGTAAAACAGAACCATAAAAGAAATACTGTTTAAATTATCAGACCCTGAGTGGATCTGAATTCATGAGAGCTCTCCAAACAAATAAAATACAACAGAACATTGCATTAAAATAAGACTTGGATATTTGGGTGCCTTCAGCTCTTTCAAACACAATTTACGACGCTCATCAGCTCACTAATTTCGATCACTGAAAGAGGTTGCCAAGAGTTGTTGTAGAATCTTCATCCTTGGATCTACTTCAGAAGCAGATTTTGTAACTTGGAACTTAAGATTCTGTAAATTTTGTCATAAGTATCTGTACCTGAAATACTAGCCTGTAAAACAGTAGAATATGTATCTGAGAAAATTTGACAGTATTACAGAGAAGCTGTAACATCCAGTAGCATTGCTAAATCATCTCCTGAGCTGCATCCAAAGCAGCGTGGGCAGCAGGGCCAGGGAGGGGATTCTGCCCCTCTGCTCTGCTCTGCTGAGAGCCCACCTGCAGGGCTGCACCAGCTCTGGGGGGCCAGCACAGGAAGGACATGGAGCTGCTGGAGTGACTCCAGAGGAGGCCACCAAGATGATCAGAGGGATGGAGAACCTCTCCTGAGAGAAAAGGCTGAGAGAAATTGTGTTGTTCAGCCTGGAAGAGAGGAGGCTTCAGGGTGATCTAATCGTGGCCATCCAGAACCTAGATGAAACTTGCAGCAAATACAGAGAGATACTGTTTTCATGAGCGTGTAATGAGAGGACAGGGAGAATGGGTTCAAATTGAAAGAATGTGGTTTTAAATTGGATATTAGGAGAAAATTCTTTCCTGTGAGGCTGGTGAAGCAGTAACACAGGTTGCCCAGTAAGGTTGTTAAAAGATCCATCCATGGAGGTGTTCAAGACTAAGTTGGATGGGGATTTGAGCAACCTGGTCTAGTTGAAGATGTCCCTGCACATAGCAGTGGAGTTGGAAGTAGGTAAATTTTCAAGACCCCTTTGAACCCAAACCATTTTATGATTCTACAACTCAAATAACAGTTTTATTTTTCAAATATACAGTAAATAATGGATTTTTCAAGTTGTATTTCTGAGTGGATAGCAAAAAAGTTTAGAAAGCTCACAATATATTCAACTTGTTCTGCATCATAGCTTTTAATGGTATATTAACCAGTTGAACTGTATTTCTTTCCAAAATTTTCATATAGTGCATGAAATTTTCATTTTTCTTCTTACCAAATCTGCAGTTTTTGATTGACACCATTCCTTTCTCAGCTGCAAATCTAGAGGAGCTAAAAAGACAATAGAAGTAGTCACAGCTTTCACATGGATCTAAACCAAGGCTAAGGTTTACTGATCATAACACTAGAATAAATAGGATGGAAGGTTGAAATTTATCACAAAGACATATCTACAAATGGCTGTTATATATATAAAAGGCATGAGTGCTTCATTCAAACCAGAGTAGTGAATACTTCAGAAGGCTTACTGTCCTTTAAGGGCACATATTATGTATGCTATAGGATGTCTTCATGGTCTACCAAACCAGTATGCATTTCAGCTATTAAAAGGAATATTTTATGTATTTATTTGACAAAGCAAAACAGACACCAGGAAGCCATTCCAGACTGTATTCATTCATATGCCATTTTATATGGCCTTTAGACATTGGACTGGAATGGGTCTTTAGGAGCTGTTTTGGTTAATCAGGACATAATGCATTAGGGATAATGACTCATTGATAGAACTCTGTGGTAATATTCTAAAGGAAATGTACTGCCACTGTAGCATATTTTAAATTGACTTTTTACATACTGTACACAGTGTTTTTTACAGCTAGTTCAAGTTTAATTCTAGTTCTAAAGGCTATGCTTTTGACAAGTGAAATTTTTGGAATTTAAAATCACATGTTATATATATCTTTATTGTCTCAAATATGCCTAATATAACTCAAGAACAGTTCAGTTTGAAACCAGTATGTTGTCTTTTGACAATAGATCTATTCCAGTTGCACCTCTTGTCACAGAAGGAAGGATTATTACAAGCAAGTTAATTTTATAAGAGAAATGGTACAGAATAGTATGATCAAACAAATTTCACTGCACTTAAAATATTTGTATATTTTATGTAGGGGTAATAACTTCTCTCATAAATACTATATGTGCTTGATTAATTATCCAGTAAGACTAAGGTGAAATCTGCATATTTGTATAGATGGAAAATATTGAATCCATTCTCATGAATCCCTGAAAGCAGTCAACTTTCCTCATTTGTTCTTGCTGGGGATGAATAGAACAGGGACATTCTCTTAACTTTACTTTTTTTTTCAGGAAATAAACAGCAAAATTGAATATGCCACAAAATCCTTTTAACTTTAGCATCTTCCTAGTCATATATTATATGCTACAACACCCCTTACGTTTTTTCTCCTTCAATTCTTTCCCAAAATAAATATACTTCTACATATGCATAAATATCCCTTTCCAACTGGAAAATAGTCTCCCTCATGTGGCAAATCTTACTAAAATATTTTGAAACAAACAGGATTGCTCCTTAAAACAGGTTTTTAAGCAAAACAAATCAAAACTAGAAACAGTGACAATCTCAATGACACATTTCTGAATAGCAATATTCTTTATGAAAGAAGATATAGAGTTCTATTAAGCTCATGTTTATAGTGAAATTTCATTTCAAGGTGAACAAAGTGATCATCTAAATAAATGTCACTGTGAACATTTTACTCTCCTGAAGCACTGCACAGTGAAATGAGCCAGCCTTTGATTACATAAATGTCCAAGGCAAAGCACCCATCAACTAAAAAAAACCCCATAACATCAAACTGAAGGATAAATGCTTTGTGCTAGGCTTGTTTGGGATTGGTTGGTTTTTGGGTTATTTTGAGGGAGAGGGTGGTGATGTCAATGTAGTTGCTTAATTTTCCATTTCACTCATTCTTCTTTTGTTCCAGACTATTCCAGATCCTACTCTGAGAGGGTGTTTTTTCTCTTCCACAAGTGCAAAACTAAGGCTTTGAGCACTCAGTTGCTATGGAAACAAAAAAGACAGAAATAGTTTATGTATTTCAAAAGCTGTCAGCCTATATGCTGTGGATTTTGATAACTAAACCTAAACATGAACCATCTTTTCTAAAAACCATTGTGACATTTATTATCATGCATGACTGTTGCTAGGGAAAATAAGGCACCATTTTGTTTAGCTTTTTGCCCATCACTTAACATTTGGGATTTCAGAATTAATTTTTGTTCATCATCAGTATTTAGCAAACAAGAATGGGAGCAAACATACAGTGAGCTGGCAAACACTGCAGATTTCTCCATGGTAAAAATACAGCAAATTGCAACACAACCATTCAAGAAAAGACACATTGAGAAAGGCATCTTTTAATACTTAAAAATATATGCTCAGCTTCCTTAAAATTTTAAGAATTAAGAGATACTGTCTTTTCTTCAAGATGTAGCAACAAAATAATTTCTATGTGCCTTCCTAAGCCTCAGAGTTACTTCTACACAAAACCTGGATATTCCCTGAACTGAAAAATCCTTCTCTTGGGATTTTTTAACAGACACTAAAAGTGTCCATTCTATTGCTGTTCTTCAGGAAATTCTGATATTCCCAAAACTTAGGTTTCCGTAACAAAGTCTTTTTATCAGAATGTAATGATCTAGTTAAAGGAATCAAGACCATTAGACAATACTAACTTTCTCAATATTGGATCAAGATGAAGAAGGCCTGAAAGCAGTAAAAAATTAATTTCCAAAAAAAATACCACAGAGAGACTCAGTTTGGAAAATAGCTAAAAAGATATCACTCATAAAGCATTTTCTTTTTTCTACAGGAGGAGAGAATGAAATTACATCAGATTTTTCTAAATTTGGTGCTTTTGCACACAATCTTTTTATTTTATATCTACAGTTTCTAAGACCACAAAAACCCCTGTGATTCTCAAGATAATGATAGAAAGTATAGTGGTAGCTGCTCTTCAAAAAAAATATTCTGGAGTCGCTGATGGCATGTTCCCTTTCATTGCATCAAATGTACAATAAAATGGGCATTTCACAATACAAACAGGAATGTCAGGACTGTTTATAAAACAATTTCATTCACTTTTCATTTCGAAGGAAAATTGAGACATTAAGATGATTAAACAGAACAATTTTTAATTTTCTCATATTTAAATGTGTTCAGTCCTGAAAACTCATTCTAAACCTTAAAAAAAGTTCATCCTGAAGCATACAGAATTTTAATTTATGCTAATTATATATTATTTAAATAACAGTAATGCAGAAAGGGAGTATTCTGCAAAAGTCTAAAGAATTTAGTAGTCTAAACCATGTAGAGACATCATTGACACAGTAATAATTTTTAAAGACATTTTATTTTGAGGGATATAAGGGCACAAACTCAGTGTGGAACATCTTGTTCATGAAAGTGTTAGAATACCAAACTGGCAATCTGGGTTATTATAATGAGCACCATGGTGATTGCTATATCTTTCTTCAAATAGTATTAGGGCATGATATATAAATTTTCTGATTGAGGAAAATTATTGAAACACCATCACACACTAGTTCACTGGGCACTCCTGTAATTAATCTACCATGCCATCAGTCAGGGCTGAAGCCTTGGTTGCACTGGAGTAGATTAGATAAATCAAATTTTATCACCTTAGATGAGACCAGAACTGTATCCACAAGCTCAGCCATTTTCTCTGTCACATGATCTTAGGCAAATTAAAATTGCTACACATTAAATAATAACTCCAATCCCCCACCTCTTTGCCCAGAGTCACAGGGAGATTTTCAAGGTCATATTGTTAAAAATTCTTGATTACTGGGCATTTTATATGCAATCACATCTAGAAATCACGAAGAACTAAGAGGCTCTAAGAGGAAACTGGCTTGTTTATATGCAGTAAATTCTACAGTTTTCAGTAGAATACAGGATACAGACTCAGTATACTTAAAAATATATGTCAAAAAAAAAGAAAATTCAAGAACTGGATTTTGGGCTCCCAACTAAATTGAAGGAAAAAAAATTCTTCAAAACATACCCATATTCAGGTTTAAAAGGTACACAAGGTGCACAGAAAGGGAAGACCAATCTATTTATACAGATTAATTCCTCCCTCAACAACACTGAGTTTTCCTCATGTATTTCATTCCTCAGGCAAGACAGTGTTACAAAAGACCTGTGAAAAATAAAGCATCCTGAAGACAATAAGGGGTGAGGCAGATGAGTTCTTATAAGGACTGATAGAGCTAATAGCTAGATTAATTTAGCAAAACCAAGTGAACAAAGAACTAGAGAGTGAGCTGTCTTTCAAAATCAGATTTATCAGAAAGAATATCCTTATCATTCTGTTCCAGTCCTACGAATAATCATGAGGGAGTGAAAACAAAAACTAATCAGGGCACTGTGGCGTGTTACTCACAAGCTCATAACTGGCAGTAAAATTGAAAGGTTTCTGTCTGCTGTGGTGAATAATTTCTACACCGAGGCCCAGAACAGACAAAGCTCATCATTTGTAACATCTGCCTCAAAAAAAACCCTGAACCAAAATAAGCTAGTTAGAAAGTTACATTTCCTCCTTTTACTCTGTGAAATTTAGCTTTAAAGAGCCTGCGGGGATTCTATATTTTGCAAAATTTTTCAAAAACAGATAAAATGTGTAAACTAGAACATAAAATGAAATTTGTGCATCTGGTCTAATTCTAGAAAAATGTAATCTTGAGATAGTATAGCATGTAACATATATGCATGCATACATACATATACATATAGGTGCTAACTGGAAATTAGGCCTTTCAATTTGTGCCAGTTGATTATTTTTGTTGAACACAGAAATATCATATAGAAATTTATTAAATTAAAAAAAAACACACAAATGATAATCCAGATGTAACCTAATAAAAAAGGCTCAGGTAGGCTTGGAATTTGAGTTATCAGATAAGGTATGCAGCAGGAACTCCTTTTTCACTTCTCAGATAATGATTATGCTGTTTTTGCAAAACTAACCAGCCATATATAATCATATAGCTGAAAATATTTTTTAAAGTTATTATATCTATAATAGTAAGAGGCAGTTGAACCAGTCTGCAAGGTGAAGTTATTCTACAAATCTTTCCTCTTATTCTGCTACAATATAGAAAGGGCTCAAGCATATTACTAGCACCTGCAGATGGCACTGACAATATTAATGATATTTAGGTTTCAGCCATGATTAGGCCTTTCAGATGAAATCTGGAGAGACAGATCACCGGCTTGACTTTTGTGGAGGTGTGTTACAAACTGTTTACAGGGCTGATGAACAGCTTCTGCAGCAGTGCCAAGAGCTGCTGCTTTGTCCCCTGCATGGACGTCTGATAAGAATAGTGAGAGGTCACTCAGAGACATAACACAGTGATGAGACCCTTGTCTAAACCACCTCTACCTCTTCTTTTATCTTAAGTAGCGTTAGTCACTAAACTATTTCAATAAGTAAAGCAATAAACTTCCTCAGAACTTCAACTCTGGGCTTCCACTGTGATTACTAAAACTCAGCACCACCACCTGCTGTCTTGTATTGCTGTGCCAAGCAGCAGCTGAACACCCTTCTGCAGGTAAGCATAACTTACCTTGTTAAAGGCCAGGAGAGCCAGCCGATGGAAGAGCAGTGAGCTAAATGGCTGATGACCTGACCTGTACGAGATACCAAAAAATACAAATATTAATACAAAAGGCTTTATCTTCTTGTATAGGACATTTTAGAGGCTTTATGTAATAGTAAATAATATTACAGAATAACAGAATCACTTAGGTTGAAAAGACCTCTAAGGTCAATGAGTCCAACCTTTGAATGATTACCAACATGGCACTGAGTGCCACATCTAATTGTTTATTGAACACCTCCAGGAATGGTTGGCTCCACCACCTCCACAGAATCACAGCATAATTTTGGATTTAGAGCCGTTCTGTTATCAACATACAAGCCATTTGCTAATTTAAGTATTCTGTTCTATCTGACACAACAATGTAATCTTACATTTTGGGAATTATCTAAGTAGCAAAGAATAATATGGGAAAATATAAAGGAATCTGCTGCTTTTAGTAACAGTTCTGAGTTTCCACTGTCTATAATATGACTGTAGGATCAGTGCTGTCTTACACTAAATTGGTGCATTGGGGAATAACTTTGTATTTCAGGAAGAAAATACACTGATTTTTTACTCTTTGACAGTAGTACATTAAGTACCTTCCTTGTAAAATAGTCCTTCTGCATCTTACTCTGGAGATATAAATGTCATTCCTGGGATCATATCTTCCATAATATCATTTATTTACAGAAGTGGTGACTCTCATAAACTCCAGAGAAAACTCAGATGAGACCTCAGTTGTGTATCTACATTCTCTAAAATGGGATTTATAAAAACTAAGCATAGAGGGAGTTTAGTTTAGCACAAGGGGTCATGAGCTTTCTACTCTGTCAAACCAGCTACCAATGACATAGAGGGAAAATATGTGAAAGTCAATGGAATCAGTGAACTTAAATCCCAGTTTACAGGAAACTGCACAAGAATATATCACCATAATACATTTTCTACTTTATATATAATCTCTCTGCTTTTATTTTGGTCTCTGCTTCTTTACTTTTGCTTAAGCATTTTTTCCCTCTATGGTGATTATACAACTGACGTATTTTTTATAAAAAAGTACCATAATACTATGGGGCAAACAGACAAAACTATTTTAGTCTCCTTTGGTATAAAACACCTCTAAGATACTTTCCTTGATCATTCAATTTTTATTGTTTACAATTTCCTTTCTTAAATATGAGGAATCACGTTTCTACATGAGATTACAGATGATGCTTCACTACATTGAATATTATCTTGATCACCTTTCTGGAAAGCTAGTAGCCAAAAAAATAAGCACCATGTAATTCAATTTTCACTTTCTTTTTATTCAAAATAAATGTATTTGAATTTGACCTACTGTCTCAAGGTTATGATTTTCTAATATTCTTCAAATAAATATTTTTAGAGAGAAACTAATGTAGACTTTTGGTTCAGATGTGCCTGAAGTTCATTACTTTCAAAAATAAGTATAATTACTTTTACTTATTAATTTCTGAAATTCAACTTATTTGTCCTGAATGCATTCTTTCCTTGAATGGGTAACTACACTAGCATTTTAATAAATGCAAATGAACTTTGAACAAATATTTTCCTTTTAATCATCTGTAATATGGTTTGGCTGACTTGATTTCTGCTGTTAAGTCAGTAGGTTCTTGGCTAAGGCCAGCATCTCGCCAGGGTGATGATGTAAACTAAACTCAAGGATTGTGTACTGATTGGTCTGCTAGGCTAAAATACTTCTCAAATAATCCCAAAGGGAATTCTCAGTAAAAGGAAAACGAATTTTGAATTCTTCCTCTTCTTTTATTTACCTGCTTCTTATATTTTAAATATAACCCAGTTTGGGTTTTTTTCTGTGCAGTCTATATAAAATCAAATTCTGAAGCAGTATGGCTGTATGAAAACTTGAATAATCATGTAGTGCCAATGTCTTTACACAAGTGCAATCATCAGTCCTAATTGCAGTGCCTCCAGGTATAATTTCTGGTTTACTGGCAGCCAGTGCAAGACATTTGATAAAATCAGGCTTTTACGTGCATGTAATTGAGTTACTCAGAGCCAAGACAAAGGCAAACTTGCCTAAACTCAGGTAAACTTCAGGAACATATGCCTATAATATAGTCAAAAATAACTCCTGCACTCCCAAGTAGCAGTAAACACTTCCTATTTAATCTGGAAAATTTATGGATAAACCCAAAATTATCCCAGTGTGAGCAATGCTACATCATCAGCTAGGATCAGAAAAGCTCATGCAGACTATATGAAAGGGCAGCCAGGTATTAGTTTTTACCCGCTTAGGGGAAGGTGTAGTTTTGTATCTTTTGAGCCGAAAATTAATTTAGACAGTTTTATTACAGTTAACTGGATATATCAAAAAATCTTTCAGCTTGACAGTCTTTTGTATCTAAATATGTTTGAGCTTCACAAATGAGTTCCCGATGTGAGATACCTTTTGAGAGCATCCCTGAAGAGAAAGACTTGGAGGTATTGGTGGATGAAAAGCTGCACATGAGCTGGCAATCTGCACTTGTCCCCCTGAAAGTCAACCATACTGTGGGCTGCATCCAACGCAGTGTGGCCAGCAGGGATTCTGCCCCTCTCATGACGATCCACTGGGACAACTGCATCCAGCTCTGGAGTTCCCAACAAAAGGATGTGGACCTGAGGGAGCAACTCCAGAGAAGGGCCAAAGAGATGATTGGAGACCTGGAGCACCTCTCCTGTGGAGCCAGGCTTGGAGATTGGGGCTGATAAGCCTGGAGAGCAGAAAGCTTTAGAGAGACATTATAGCAGCCTTTCAGTACCTAAAGTGGCTACAAGAGTTGGAGGGGGACTTTTCACCAGGGTAATGTAGGACAAGGGGGGCAAGGCCTTAAGCTGAAGGAGGGTAGATTTAGATTAGATGTTAGGAAAAAAATCTTTACTGTGAGGGTGGTGAGGTGCTGGAACAGGTTGTCTGGAAAAGTTGTGAATGCCCCAGCTCTGGATGCATTCAAGGACTGTCTGGATGGGGCTCTGAGCAGCCTGGTTTGATGCAAGGTGGCAGGCAGCAGGGAAACAGGGGACTTGGACCTTTAGGTGATTTTTAGGGTCCCTTCCAACCCAAACAATTCAATGATTCAAACACCCAGCTGTCATGATGGTCTGACAGAATAGGCAGCACTGAGTTCAGGAAATACAAAGTTTATTTTCATTATGGTAACTTGGTTCCTATGCCTATATTTTTATAAGATACTACTTTTTCTATTGGTCATTCTGACAATTTTTAACCAAGCTTTTCTCTGGAGTGATGGTATTCACTTACTGTGGATGTGATAGTTTGGTTACAGAGTGAGAAAACTAGGTAAATTTTCTCACAGTTTGTGAGACTCTAGAGAGTTGTAGAGAAATAATGATAGTTTGTTATTGTAAATAACCTGTAAGTAGTGTTTTTCTTACTCTCTGTTTTCTCGTTTTTCTTAGAGATTGTTTATAAGAAAAGTGTTTTTGTTAATTAGCTAATCAGGTGAAATGTATTAATTAATTGACCAATCTAGTCTATATGTATCAGAACAGTCTATAAAAAGAGAATTTTCATATTAAACTGCTGCTGTGCAAGCCAGCATTCTTGTAAGTCTGTATTGTTTCTTACTCAATAACGACTACTTGCAGTAAAATAACCGTAAGAGCTAAATAAACATTTTATATCACACCAGTTATTTCCACAAGACCTGTACACATTATTGCAACATAGATAAAAGGGCAGCATCTTGTACAGAATTTGGATAAAATGTTTTGGATAAAAGACTGATTTTCATATTTTAAGGAGAACTGTCTTACACTCTTCATGAAAAAAAAAAAAAAAAACATTTTGAATTTCAAAAACCTGCTGGACAGTGACAGAAATGCTTCCAAAACAGATTTAATCTCATTAGCTCAAACCTCTGAAGATGTATGAATTCTGTTTTTAACATGTCAAAATGTAGATTGACCACTATTTTTTCTTCAAACGCCTACACAGCTGCAGAATTCTGTGCCTCTGATGGAATTAATGGGATTCTAAAGAGACTAAACAGGATTAGAAAGGAATACTTGAGAGAAAAAAATATTCTCATATTCATGATGTTTTTTCCTCAGTTTTGATTCCAAGCAAAATGAGGATGGTAGATATTCACTAAATTCTCTTTATATTAGGGTTTAATTAATCCAGAATGACACTTGAGTCCGCTTTCTTAATGTTCCATTGTAAATCATCTGCAAAGCTTCAGTTAACTTGAATTTAGATGCATTTATGCACTGCAAAAATGAAAACATTAATCCAGAATTATCACTATGGAATAAATGTAATTCTATTACATTTCATGCCAAAAGCCTCCATGTGCAAGGCTTTAAAAATTGAGGGATAATTTTGAAATCAATCTAAGTATGAAAAAAGCCATATTTTACCTTCACAGAAATAAATACTATAAATTATGCAGAATTTTATTAATTATTAATATGCTGGCTTTGGTTTCTTCTTATATATTAAGAGGTATATTAATCTTGCGCTCTTTGTCCATTTTTTTATATGCTTAATTATCTAAAAGAACAATAATAATTGCAATCATGTTTGTAGTTTCGGCCAGCTAGTGGCATGCCACTGATCCTGATTTCCTTTGATTTTTCTTTAAATTCAACAGCTGAATTGACTAGAAGAAAAGCTTTTTGGACGTGGATTATTTGAAAATTACTCAGAATATATTATTCATGTTGTACAGTTCACAAACTGTGTGAACTGCACAACATGAATAATATAGTCTCAATAATTTTCAGTGTTGGTATACTTTGTGTATACCACAAGGTATACCACAGTGTTTGTATACCTTGAGCATAAAAATAATTTCAGATTGGAGAAAATTAATCAACAAAAGTGTATGCCCTGTGTTAGGAAATATTCAAACAATCATTTGCACTAATATTTATGAAGTTTGTAAATTTCTGATACTCTGAAAAAATTCTTTGTACCATCAGTATTCTCTCAAACAATAAATACTCAGGTTCAGCATTATAAACAAAACAAATTCTGCTGTATTTAAGAATTAATTATATTATTTACTGAATTGTGCTGTCTTGTATGGCCTAACATATTTACTGAATTTTGCTGTGTTGTATAAAAGCCTAACATTTTAATGACTCCCTAAAATCCTTGAGCATTCTGCTGCTTTTAACATGAGAGGTTGTATTGTATTACTTTTGCTTTTGTTTTTCTTTTAAATATTATGTATCTCTAGCACAAGGCCATCCAAAACATTGCATCAGCTGCAGCTTTCACTTCCCTGTTTCACCCCTTCCCTCAGAAACTGTTTTTAAAATATGTACAATAGCAGCTCCTTGAACAGTAATTATACAGTAAGTATTGTACAATTATTAAATATTAAACACTACCATATTTGTCAGAAATTTTTTGCAAAGTCCTGGCTGGTAAAGACCTATAGAAAATCTTTGTGCTTTCTATAGAAAAGGGAAACTAAATGTTTATAAATAGATGCAGAGCCTTGGCCTGGTAGAATTGTACATATGGAACTGCCTTCCACTACAAAAATCTGCAGACGACAGCTTCCTAAGGAAAGGTGTGAGGTAATTAATTTATGAATTAAAGAGATTTTCTGTATGAATTAAAGGATATTTTATTTATGTAGAAATGCCTGTAGAACCAACTTGACAACACATCATATTCAAGCCAGCAGTAAAATATTTATTTAACAGTTTTTTATGGTAGTAATCCATGATTTGATTTATTCATAGCTAGAGAAAAATGCCACTTCATGGTGTCAAGGTGCACAAAATTTACTTGTATAAAAGCTGAAAATCAAAGCAGATCCACAATTACAGTTATTATTGTTAATCAATCAGTAATGTTATTGTGGTTGGAAAGAAATAAAAGAAACCCAGAATAGCTGGCTTAAGGTGTTCTGCCTCTATCAATGTGAATATGGAACAGGGTTAATAATAAACCATAATAATAATTTCATGCATTTATTGCATGATTTATTGCACAAGTAACTTTTTTGCCCTTTTTTGGTCAAGGGAAGTAAAGTAGACAAAAATATATGAATTTAGAGCATGCTGTTTCCTTCTTGAGTATCTTTCTGCAGGAAAAGTATTTCAGCATTATTTTTATGGAGAAAATGCATGACCCGCAGTGAAATTTTCTGTCAAAGAGCTCTTCTTTTGGACCTAAAATGTAACAGTAAACAGGCACCAGTTTGTATTAGAAGGACAGAACAAAATTTCATTACAAAACAAATTGCTCCAGTTGCTGGAGATTAATGGGGTGTTTCTCCTCTGGCTTGCTGTGTCTTGTAAAATATATGTCTCTGCATGCTTATTAAGGAGGGATGAGGGACTACATGCACACAGAGAGTGCATTGCACTGCTTAAAATTGCTCATCACTGCCTTGCTGAGGAGAGTTATGACATTATGGTATGTTAGGAGCAAAGCTGAAATCCATGGCCATTTAAGTCACTGTCAAGGTTTTAAAATGTGATTCAGCAAAAGCAGTTAAATAGCTTGCCAAAAATGTAAGATGGAACATCTTGTACTATTTTTTTCCATGCACAGGAGTATCCTGGAAAAGGAAGCTGCTTTAAATCACTATGTATAAAACTAACAACTTTAAGTGAGTGAAAAAGAAGTACTTTTTATTATAATGTGCTCAAAATGATCCCTAGTGAGATAAGGCATTATTTATCCTAATGAAAATTTTAACAATCTTGTATTTCTCTTTTAAAACTGTGTTAAGATATTCTTTGTAACAGGCATCCACATTTACTGGTTTTGCTGCCCCATTTTTTATCAGACTCTGTTTTCTATAGATGGTAGGAATTAGGGATATTTCCATCTTATTAAGCTTTCTCAAGAAAGCCTATGCACAAGGCCAGATGCACATTTTTCTGGTTTTGCCCTTTTCTTCAGTGCAGATCCATGCAACAGAGATAAGGACATGTCTGTGAGAAGGCTTATGCTTGCCAGATCCCATGATCAGCTTCCTCTCAGCCATAATCATCTAATAGACAAGCCACAGCTCAAGCTCAAAGCATTTGTAGTAAGTTTAGAATAGCAGACCCCAGCTGGTAGCAGAGAGCAAAGCAGAATGCAAAGCAGCAGCAGAGCATATTGGTGGACTAATTTGCTTGAATTTGTTTTCAGTACTGCTTGTCTAGACCCTATGCAAGCAAATTTGGAAATGTTTAGGGACCCCAAAATATACAAAATCTCTCTCATACTGGTTGTTGTACAATTACCTAGATCCCATGGCTGTCTGTATTTGCAGATGGCCGCTGTACAGTAAACATTATGAAGTAAAAAGAAGCTACTGTGGAAAAAAACCCAAATAAACAAAAATCAAACAAATAATGCCACCACCATCCCCAAAACTCCAAAAGAAATAGCATTTCAATTTTTGTTTCTAAGTACTTTCTTACTTTCAGCTGTTTCATAGAGACCTAACATTTCACAAAGATTTTCAAAGAAATTTAAAGCAATGTAAAAAGGCATAACTAGAAGAATAATAGTTGCTTAGA